CTTCGAGAAAATAAATATTTCGAAATTGAATTTCATCTCTTCCAGTAGAATATGGTAATAATTATTCGCAATGATTGTTCTCGTTTCACTCCAGCGGAGGAACCGTACCGAAATCAATCTAGTAAATCACTTACAGACCGGTTTCGGGGTATTACTTCTGGTCAGTGCAGTGTAACTGGCACTTCTCTGACTTCAAACGTTAAGAGAAAATTTGTCAACTCCATTGAAGAACTAGTGAGAGTTATATATAATTTTTTTCAAGAAAGGTTAGTTGGGAAACCGGATCAAATTTTCTTTAAATATTGTTTTCTTGCCATCCTTTCGAATTCACTTAAATTCTTCTATGGGACTCGGAATGGAGTTTTTTCGTATTGAAAATATGACTATTCCNAATATTTATAATTACGATTGAGGTTTGATATTATTATATGATTTCATTCAAAATTGGTATCTAGAGGTCTTTGTTGACCGACGTTATGTTTTTTTTTTCAATAATTCATGCTGACGAATTCTATAATTACGAAAAATCATTAATGTAAATAAAAAAAAATTGTATTCAAAAATGAAAAATATGTTTTTCATATGTGTGCTATAGGTTATATTCATTCTGTGATCAACAAATTAAAAAGCTTTCTGCTCAGTGTTCAGTTTGTAAACTAAATAGTTATTCTTGTGTAACCAGTGTTATATCTGTTATTGCTCACTTAACAACTAACTTACGTCACACAAAGAATATGATCTCCGTTTTGGTTTTTCTTTCTTTGCACGAGGCTTTCGAGTTGCATACAGACAATATTCAATTAGAAATGACGGCTGTCATTTTTTTAACCTCTTTTTGGTTGGGATATGTCAAATAATAAACCTAGTTTCAAAAACTTCAAAAAAACGATCATTACAAACATAAAAAATATCCCTTTTCATGTCAGTCCACAAAGAACCCTAGATACCAGTTTTGAATAAAATCACAGAATAATATCAAACCTCAATCGTAATTTTAAATATTCATGATTTCTAATCGAAAATTCTTTATATCGGACCTCACAAACTGTACCTCTTGTTTATCAAATCTGAGAATAAATCACAAATTTCTTCATCAGATTTAAAGCAAAGTACACTACTTTTGAAATTATCATTTTTCATCGTTATGAATTAGTTCATTTGAAATAATTTAATTTTAATCCAGTAAACCACGCTTTATTATAAAGCCACACATAAATAAAAATCTAGTAGGTGGTGGAAAAACTGGCCCCATTTCCATAATCATTAATAATACATCAGATTGTTTTATGGTCCAACTTACTTCCTGTAAACAAAGTTATGCTGCCTTCAATGTAAGGATGGAAAAGGCCTCTCTATTGTTTTTTGTTACTCTGAGATTGTCATGCATTTGCCATGAGTCGTATATATTTGAAATATTCGCTGATTCAGCGCCAGATCCAACTATTTCGCCGCTTCGGGCAAAATAATATTTGCCGCCTTTTACCCATGCGTTATTCCATAGATGGTGTAATTTTAAGCTAAGACAAGTAAAAAAGACAACTTTTTCCTGCTGATATTAATGAAACAAAATAAGTTTCGTTTCAAGATATTTATTGCAATCCAGCATCCAGCACAGCTCGAAGGACGCAGTGTGACCACATTTTATTTTTGTAATCTACTAAAATATGATGTGAAATTTCAGTGATGTCAATGGTAATATATTCTATTCTATCAATCAACTTTTGTGTAGGGTGTGGCTTATTTTGTTTAACCATCTTTCAAATTTTCGCCGCCGACGTTGCGCCTTCCTCAATTATGCCCCGGGCAATTGCCCGTTTCCCCCCCCTAGATCGGCAATGCGTTGATTATATTCATAAATACTCATTTACACATATGTATATTTGTTTAATGCTGTAAGTTATCCTACTCAGCATGGTTTCGTACAACAAAGATCATATATGACAAATCTTGCATGTTTAAATCAATATCTCTGTACGTACCTGGACAAGCAAAAATAAGTCGATGTTGTTTATTTAGGCTTTCAAAAAGCCTTCGATCAAATAGACCATTACGTTCTTCTAAGTAAATTGACAAAATTGGGACTCTCTAACCAACTGCTCACTCTGATTGAATCATATCTAATTAACAGAAAACAATTCGTCGAATATGAATCTTTCAAATCGGCCCAGTACGTAGTTACATCTGGGGTACCACAAGGTTCCAATCTTGGACCTCTTTTATTTTTAATTTTTATTAATGACTTGGTAACGTTATCAAAAATATTTAAAAGACTAATCGAAAGTAGGATAGTGGGATTCTTGGAACAACATTAGCTCCTGTATAATTTCGAAAACGTCTACATGACCCTAAATGATGAAGAAGTGACTGCGGCAGTATTTATGGGCCTTTCTAAGGCATTTGATTCCGTGGAACATAAAATTTGCTGCTAAAACTCTTCCATTACGGATTCCGGAGAACCGCCTTCGAATAGTTCAGATCTTATCTTACTGGTAGGAGTCAAAAAATAACATTGAGCAACAACACTCCTCAGGGTTCAGCCCTAGACCCAATTTTATTCTTGCTATATATTAACGATATAGCAAAACTTGATATATCTAGAGTTATATAGTATGTATCAACTGCAATAAACTACCTGGTACAATCCCATTGTATAATTCCTCTCTGAGGGACAAAATTACCAGCTTCCATATTATTCTGATGTGAAAGGAGGGATTACATAATGAGATTAAACCAGTTATTTTATTGCAGTTGATAAGCCAACACCATTTACAGTGAAACATACTATACCAATAGTTCCCCAAAACTGTTCAGAAAAAATATTGATTTGTAAACTCTTTTGGTTCTCCCTTCCTTCCTTCCTTGACCATTTTCCATACTTTTGAAAAATTACTATCACCTATGAAACCTGTTAGGGCTACTGTTCAGATCCTTAAAACAAAGCATAGCAATTGACAAGCCTTGTTTATCTTTGATATTCGTGGATTGTCTGTCGAGCCCATGAGAAGCGATGTTACTGCCTACAATTACACAGGATGATCCTTCAAGGACAGGAACCATGATGCAGCAATGCATCATGGTTCGCATACACCTGCGACTTAAGAAAACTCCATAAAAAATCTAACGAGGTCAAATCGCACGATCTCGGTGGCCAGTTCACAACTCCTCCACGTTAGATAACCATCCCCTCAAATCACTCGTGCAGTATATGTTGGTGTCTAGATCATCCAATTCGGACCAGAAGAAGTTGGTAATCAGAGACTTGTAGTGCTCGTTGTTGACAATGATGGCCTGGCAAATGTAGTTCTCATAGAAATATGGACAGATGACGCCGCCAGCTCAAAATCCACACCAAACAGTGACTTTTTGATGTGAAACATCTATAGCTGCACATAAAACCGATTGCTGGCGTGGCGATGCATGCCGTGGCGACGGATCATCATGCATAAGCGACTGTGCGATTCTCTTCCCACTGGTTCGGCGTTACGCTTGTCTAGGTTGAGTGACTGCGGATGTTCATAAATATTATTCCAGAAAGATTTCATCAGCGGTTAGCAAATTATCCATAAAACACGGAGGCTCTTAATAAACGAGGAAGATTCTCTTGAAACTCTTCATTTTCCACGATGTTTCTCGCTCGTATGACCTATGAGTTTTTAGCAGCCACTAGCATTCGTCTACTATTGTATACTGCTATTATACTATCAACACAATCATGCTTGGTGGTGATTAGCATGCTTTGACTTGAACTGAAATAGTAACGTCATAGTTTCTTAGATAGTTCCTAGATGGTGGATGTCCATCATATATTGTAACTATAGGAAATATGTGTTATATCGCTTACTTGACCTCAGCTTCAATATTGTCTAATCGTCTTTCAATTTTCTGAACCACAAGGTCGGGATTCCATCGTTCCGAATCGGAAATCGATTGACGAAAGAACGCCTTTGGAATAGGATGCAGTATGCCCTAGTGGCATGATGCATTCCATTGATTTTCCGAACATTTTGATGTTTACGATCTATACCAAAATTATAAATTCATCAATTATTCAATTAAATAATCTATCAGCGACTGTCGACCTAATATTTTGTTTCCCAAGATAAATGTGTTTTTTTGAAACCCACCAGAAGTCATTGAACACAGTTGGTACGGTCCGGCTAACGAGGTTGGTGATTTGTTATCCCTATTTTACTTATGGTGCACTGTTTGGAACCTTTGGTGTAGTAATGAATATTACTGGAGTTTTTTCCCAACACCAAATCGTTATTTTCAACACCTCGACACGTGTTTCGTATTTATTTCATCTAAACTTTGGGATCAATCAGCAGTATATTGTTTGAAAAAATGACTATTGATAGTTTTCAATTCTGGAGAGGAAGCCTGAAAATCAGCTACCTAGCCCAAGGCAGAAGGCGCGCAAAGAAGGGTTTCAAATAAGGCAGCAGTCGCGCGTGTGAATGAAAAAAATCTTTTTTCAAATGAAAAATACATGTGAAGTGAGTTTGAATTATATCAAGAAAGTTACGTATGGCGCCATCTGCCCGCGAATAGATTAAGCAATAATGTCGATATATCAAGGAAATTACGTGCAGCGCCATCTGCCCGCGAATAGAGTAAGCATTAATGTCGGTATATCAAGGAGATTACGTACAGCGCCATCTGCCTGCGAATAGATCAAGCAATAATGTCGATAATTCTGTCAAATACAGATCCCGAGCCTGAGAGTTACAATATACGTGACACATGAAACAAACATACATACATACAGGTGAAGCTTATAAAGGCGTGTTGATCAAAAAGAAGCATTATTTCCCGACTCTAAAACATTAGCAATGAAAGGGTTACTGTGTTTGAAAAAAATGAAGGGACCTCCAGTTTGCTTCCGGGTATTGTAAGAAACAAGATGAATACTTAGAAAATAGCTACACCAAAGTTGTATCCAAGGAATACATGAAAGACGAGTAATGCATAATATATTGGCTAGAAATAATACAAAATTATATTCTGAAGAATATTTATTTTAAAGTATAAAACGATTATTTCAGTAACTTCCCTGAGGTTCCTCTTTATTGTGTTCAATTATACTCATGATTAAATTGAAATCGATACATTTTCATTAATTTATTCCATTACAAACGGACACATACACTAAAATATAAGTTACAATGAATACTAATACAAATTCGGTTTTTCCCAACTACTCAAAAATGATTAAAGAATTCTATATGAATGAAAGAATGTATTTCAGCATGCTGTGCTTGGTATCTGGTGATATCTATCTCTTGAAGGATTTAATGTATTATCATCAGAACATGTCATGTCGTAATTTTATTATACATAAAAAACTCAAGAAAAGTATTATCCTATATGTATATCAGGTTAGTGAATGATCTCAATTCATTTTTGTTTTAACCAAGAATATTATCGATAGCACTGAATCTATCAAATATGCTGCACCATTCAGGACGCAAAGGGACCCCATGGCCAATCCAACCTATAAAAGGAAATCAGAATAAATTCAAAGTTTTATGAAACATATTTTGTATACAACAGAGAAATTCCACAATAATAAATATTGTGCTGTAAGTATTATACTATGACCTGTTGGTTCTACAAAGCACAGTTGAAAAAATGTTAGTTCGGTCATGAAGTAGTTAATTCTTATATTCATTTAATTTTTGGCACACAAATCAAATAAATTAAAGACTTGATGAAATAACGGGCATTATTTCAGCCATTCAAAATCCTAACGACTCATATGTCAGAAGCATATGTCGAAAATGCAATGTTTTGAAAACTTATGTCGTCTGTCTATCTGTAACAGTAAATTTTTATGAATATCGGGAAAAAACCCGTTTTCAATTTGAAACGACTACAATCGTTGTTGAAGAACCATATGTTTCTCATTGATCGTTCTTTGAAAAATATTTGAACACATTTCATAATACTAATTCTTGGGAATTATGCGAAAATAAGTTGATATCAGTGAATTTCTTCAGAAATTTCCGTCAAGAGAAAATATATACAAAAAACTGCTTCATTGAAACTCTATTTTGCTTATTAAAAGTATGCCTTAACGTTTTGAAATTTGACTTTGAAAAACGCGCGTATTTTAAAATTAGAAATCGAATCATTTCTTCCAGGTTAGACGTCTTCCGGAGTATTCTCGAAGCTTTTCCATTGCTATCCAAACCAATTGTGTGTCTCTATTGTTATCAATGAATCAAAAACAACGACAGTGTTTGTTTCGGATATTTCAATCAATTCACACAAACATCAATGAATTATACACATAAATCTTTCACTTGCATCACTCCTTCCATTGATGGAAATGAAACTACGACTTCATCGGGTTCAGACAGACAGATAGACGGAGCGAGGAACTTTGATAATATTTATTGATGAATCAATCGTCTTCCAAATAAGTTTGGTAGCTTTTTTGGTTGGATGCAAGTCCGAAATCTGCTTCATTTATAAATATTTCATCAAACTGATTCCCTGTTTTCTGGTACAAACTCAATCTGAAGAAACGATTCCAGTGTGACAAGGGGCGACTAAATGAAGTGTATAAAGTTCTTACTCCTATAATACATAATTATCAATTCATTTGAATCAGTGTACTCATTCACAGTTGACTCAATTATAAAAACCACGAATGCGATGAAATGAGTTTTTCCATGAACCATCTACGAATGGCTAACCCCATAAAATGTTCACAATTTTTGTACGGGCCAAGAAAAAACGTAAAGCGTGGTTCCTTTTATCATATACTTAGAATGCATGGTATTTCAAATTCGATCCTCACCATTGGGATCTCGGAAACTATGAGAGATACGAAGATGGGTAAATTGGGGCAAAGTTGCGCATTTACCTGATTAACAATATGCCGTTGAGAGAGTTCTGAAATTCCGAGTATATCCGGAGATATCTGGAAAAAACAGAAATTTCCGAAAATAGTTTTTATTTTTTTCTAGCTTTATTTTTCCATGGATTCGAAAATAAATTGCACTTTCACATTGCCACTTTTTTCCTGCTACATAATGGTGTTTTCAGATTTTCTGTCCGACGTTTCATCTTCCGGCCACCATCATCAACTTTATTATTTCTTATGGGCGCTACATTGGATTCTTTCTGTTTTGAATAATTCTTATCATAATAGGCTTTGACTTTGATGTTTCTGAATTTGACTTTCAATTTTTTACACTCAATGACATTTTGTTATTGTACAAGTCATTGAATTTTTGGCAAATAAAGGTTTTCACGAATGAAGAAAATAGAGATATGATACAAATTCATTACAAATACGATAGAAACGGTGTTAGAACATCGGAAATGTATTGACACTTGTATTCCAAAAGACGACAACCATATCGAACTATGTTCAAGTTATTTGATCAAAATCTCACCGAGTTTTATTCATTTCAAAAGTCGAGGAATAAATACGGAGAGAGAACGGACCAAGAAACTGAAGAAAATTTGATGAATGAGGTATGTATGAGGTAAGTTTGACATTGTGTCCTTTTCAATAAAAATTATTAATTTGCAGATAAACATGAACCCGGAAATATCTACACGTCTCAAGAAAAGCGGTTTAAAATGTTACAAAATACACATATCTCAAAAATTGCATCCAGCTGATCCCAAAAGGCGATTAGAATTTTGTAATTGGCTGATAAAAAGACATGATTTTCCTGTTTTCTTGGAAAATATAATTTGGACAGATGAAAGCACTTTTACGACTTGTGGGATATTCAACCGAAATAAGGAACACATTTGAAGCATAAACAACCCCAGGCAGTTCCGAGAAATTCGACCTCAAGTGCGATTTAGTATTAACGTGTGGGCAGGAATTTGAAAAGAAAGAATTTTGAATCCTTATTTATTTGACGGAATTCTGAATGGAGAAATCTATCACCAGTTTTTAATGTCGATTTTCCGAGACTATTTGGATGATCTACCTGGTTAACTATAACAACATCTGGTTTCAACATGATGTCTTTCCACCGCACACTACCAGACGAGTATCTAATCATCAAAGCAAATCTGAAAACACCATTATGTAACAGGGAAAAAGTGGCAATGTGGAAGTGCAATTTATTTTCGAATCTTTCGAAAAATGAAGCCAGAAAAAAATAAAAACCATTTGCCGAAATTTCAGTTTTTTCCGAATATATCCGAATATACTCGGAATTTTAAAACCATCTTCGTATGTCCCATAGTTTCCAAGATCCGAATGGTGGGGATCGAATTTGAAACACCCTGTATAATTAATTCTAACAAATATAATAAATTCATTTTCAACTCAAATATTTTTCATTTCATCAGAAACTAAGTAAACTCACCGATCTCTCCGAGTCGACGTGGGTATATTTATGTTCGGCCAAATAACCGTGCCAATAGTGGATAGCAGTTGCTCCTACTGCTACCCACAGCAAAAGACCAATTATATTCATCAGGATATCTGTGAAGTTGCTGAAAAAATAAAATCAATTTAAATCATGAAACCAATGTTTTGTGTTTTTAATTCTCAATCTGAACACGGCGTAAAAAGTAGTTTCCAATAAAACTCTCTGAACAAGCGGGGAGATTTTTTAATATAAAAAAAGTCACGTTAGTTCAATGTTAACTCCGAAGTTTTACTATAAAGTGCACGATTATTTGACTTGTGTAGGTACAAAAATTTTACACGGTAAATATTCGATTTGAGGGCTGCCGGCGATTTTGAAAAAATTTTTGAGTGTCCTAGTTACCTACGTTGATACTTAGATTACGAATCCGAAAGAAGCGCTCTCCCTTATTGACAAAGTTACGGCCCTTCAAAGTTCAGAAATGGGCAACTTTTCAGCGTTCCTTTTCACAAGATAAACTATTTAATAACAAGCGTTTATTCACTAGGTCACCTTTACACCTTATTCCTCCTTCCTTGACACTTTTCACTTCAACAATCAATGTTTTTCCAATAAAAATGTTAAAAAATGTACGGAGCTGCGTTTTGGTTATATCTCTGTATTTTACGTTTTTAAGGTTAATGGTATCGTTGGTACGACTGATGCAAGCATTCGTTTTTAAATTGTTTTTACAGAAAAATGTTGATTTTCCTATCGAAAAGTGTCAATTAAGGAGGAATAAGATGTAAAGGTGACCTAGTGAATAAATGCTTGTGTTTTTTAATAGTTTATCTTGTGAGAAAGAAGGCTGAAAAGTTGCCCTTTTCTGAACTTTGGAGGGCCGTAACTTTGTGAATAAGGGAGAGCGCCGCTTTTTTTCTTTCGGATTCGTAATCTATGCATTAAAATAGGTAAGTACACTCAAAATTTTTTTCAAAATCGCCGGTTGCCTTTTCCACAATCTGCTGATGATATAACTCATATTTTTTTGTCTCTTAGACTATTTCCATTTACTAAAATCACAATTCAGAACCTCTGGCGTAAAATAATTCTATTAAAAACGCTTATCCTTCACCAGATCAGAAATGCTGCCTCTCGACGAGTTTTTCGCTAACCAAGTTATCATTATCAGGAGATGACAAAAACTATTTCTGGAAGCTGATTTGATGTTTTTATATGTATTATTATCTAGTGTATCCCTAGTGTTTTTTTATTTTTTCTATTGTTTTTTGCCACCTGACTTCACCTTCACCTATTATCTACCTGAAATTACGTAAAAGTGCAAACTATATGCTGTTAGGAATGAGACCTTCATCATCGATCTCGTTCCACATTTTTCGATTTCTAAACTTTCGAAGTCATTCTAAAAACTTGTTGTCATGAAGGAGAACAATTTCAAGCATTTCTCACTGATACTGTAGCCATTTTCTATGGCATACTGAGCAGTACTGGACTTATCTGGTCGATGAAACTGAATATGTGAAACACGTTCCCTGTAACGAGTTATAACATTCCACTTATTTTGACCAACATATGCATGATTGCAGTTCTTTGATTTTCCGTCGTTATGTCTTTTGTCGTCTCTACGAGCAGTTTTGAAAGACATTTTGTGTAACATTTTCAAAAAAAAATTTAACTAATTCGTTGATGTATTTTGGTTCGTATGTATGAAGGATATGAAAGATGCCGTTACTTTCAGCTTTCTCTTTGAGAACTTTTTTCTTGATACCATACCTTTCTTTGCTCAAGGAATACGAGACCAGCCTATGGGCAAGGAGATATAGTACATATATTTTTTGTTGTGGACAATGGTGGGAGCTGTCAGGAATATATCTGAAAACGATTGAACTATTCCTATATAAGATGAAAATCCATACCTAACGTATTAAAAAACACTTTATTGTGAAAATTTCACTAATGAGTTTTACAGAAACCCAACACGTGTTTCACCATATGATGGCTTCTTCGGGATTGTCTTTACTAACATGATCTACAGGATCTACATGATCAATGCTTAATATACCTAATTTTACAATTTGGAATGAATTAGATTGTCTGAGCTTATGTCCCAGTTTCCACAATATTCAGTAACGGGAAGTTATTCAATTCTTATTGATCATTCAGTAAATTACTCGAATAATTGAATCTATTGATTTCTAAACATTCTAGAAGATTGAGTTTCAAACGTTTCTCTTCTATAGATGTATCACGTCGTATTCATGATTGAATTCGTGTCCTTCTGCTAAAAGGTGGTCTCTTTATTTACAAAACTTTTCATATGCTCTTTAATTCTTTGGGAAAGTGCTCTCCTGTTTGACCAATATATAGTTTTGAGCAAGAGCCACATGTCAGCTTATATACTCCTGATCTATCCGACACCAAAGTTTCTGTCTTAATTGTTTATAATGAATTTTCATAGACTATTATTCGTTCTGTAAGCTACGTTTACGCATTCTTTCTCCAAAAAACGGACAAAATTATTGGTGGATTCACCCAAATATGACAATGTCCTATAACTGACGTTATCGCATCTTAAATTTGGGTAGATCTGGTTCATGGATTGCTTTTTTAGTTTTTTGGAAAGAATGGAGTCAATAATATCTACGTTATAACCGTTGTTGACCGAGGTTTGTTCAATCAAACTCAACTTTCTCCAGAAATGACACTCAGACAGTGGAATATTCAATAGTCTGTGAAGCATACTATTGAATGCAGGAACTTTTTGCTGGTAAGGGTCTGTGGAGGAGTTATATATGATAATGTCCGTTTAAAATGGTTTGTGAAAATGGCAATTCATATTTATTGTTATTTTTCGTAATGGTTAAGTCAAGGTAATTTTCTGACTTATGTACCTCCCATTCAGTGGTGAATTTTTTTGACGGGTGGATGGAATTGACACATTCAACGAACTTGCCTTATTGGCTATCTATACCAGTAAAACAGACTAAGATATCATTTACGTATCTGTAGTTATAACTAATTATTATGAGTTTCATATTCTATGTTACCTATTATTATTCTTTCAATGCATGAATGAAAGTTGTCGTCAAACTGGAAATAATTTTAAAATAGACAAATAGTAAGTGAATCTGTAATCTGAATATCTGAAAGTCGCTTCAGATATTCAGATTGTTTTTGATATGAGGAAATAACGAAGATACGTCAAAAGATACCAAAATCCCACCATGTTGCAACCTTATATCTATTTCTTTCATTTTTTATACGATATCCCATATTTTCTGTACTGATAGAGCTACTCCATTTCAAATATGGTTACTTTGCTCAACTCATGAGAACGTATACATATCAGGGCCGGATACAGATCTGGATTTCATGTTTCGGAATTTTTGGGGGAGGGATATTTTCAGGGGAAATGATTTATATATAAAAGTATGCGTGTGAATATATCAAAATGCTCATTTGAAATGTATAGAATGTTCAAAACAGACACTGTTCCCAAATACTAGAACTACAATAATCTTCTCGACGCGCGTTTCACCATCCAAGTTGGCGTCGTTGGAAGATTAAGTACACTAATTTTCTAAGACTTTGAGTAGAAAATAAAATTATCAATATATTATGGAACAAGTCAGATACTGTGAGAGAATTGATAATTCAATTGAGAACGGTCCCTATAATAAAACAACAAGGAACCCATTGCCGTAGATAGATGATTTCAGTGAATTCAGTGATTTCAGAAGTGAAGAGCGTACTCAAGCGGTGTCGATTTCAGATCACACCGATTTTGAGGAGAAGGTTTCCAATCCTGCAGTTCCTGAAATATATGATCTACCAAAAAATCACAAATTTGGCAAGTCGGTGCAATCAATTATCTCCACCCTAAGTTCCCCTGCTTATGAAATTGATAAATGGCTGACCAAGCAACTTGAAATTCTCTCAATAAAATTTTGTTAATTCACATGATTTCATAGAGAAGGTTGAAGATGTAAAGTTGCAAATGGAAAGACTTTAGTATCATATGATGTGTTCTCATTTCCAAGTGGCCCGATACCAAAAACTACTGAATATTTGAGGGATCTCCTGAGGGTCAGTGGTCGCAGTTAAGAAGTGGATCAAAAACTACATAAAACTAACAAAAATCTGCAGGGAACAGAACTGTTTCCAGTTCGACAACTGTTTTCAAAACCAGAACGAAGTCACTGCATTTGAAAACCAACTATTCACCTTTAAAGCTACTCTGTTCATAAGCAGATTTGAACTAGAACCAAAAGAGGAGTTAAATCATTTTCCACAGATTTAGAACCAATATGGATCTAACATATTTGTATCTACTTTCAGATGCCCTAACATTAGGTCTATATATGGTGTCTATAAGCAGAATAACAGTACTTTAAGATAGTTTTCTGCTGGCTCAACACAAAATGGCAGGACCACACTTTCTAGTCCATAGGCTTGATATGTTCTCCATCAGTAAAGAAAGATTACATATTGAGAAAAAGTTAATCAGGGACATAGCTGAAACCAACGGGTCTCCTTCAAGTGAAGTAGATAATTCAATTATTAAAAGTGAACTCAGGGAGAATATCCAACTTTTCGAAACGACATCAAGTCAAAGTTCCGTATGAATCAAGATACAGTAACGGATTTGATCGAATTTTTAAAAAGTTGAACCTGAAAGTAGCCTTCAAAACTCTTTGTCCACTCCAACAAATGTTGAGTTGGGTTAGGAGAATGGCCATAGAATGAATGAAAAAACTCTGAGGTTGCTGAGATCGGTACATGACACTAGAGTTTTGGATGCTTTCGAAGCCTGACAATGGCAAAGTGTGGCATTAGAACTATGAACAGTGACAAAATTCACATTCCAAAAAGTCCATTGTTTATCTTAAGATGAATCGCTCTGTTAAAATAACTGGAAAATTTCACGATAAAAGTCCCCGCAAATTTCTAACTGAAATTATTGATGGGTATCTTATAGTTAGGTTAGGTTAAGTCCAAAGTGAGATATGAATGTAAACCGGTTCAGAGTTAAGAATTGGTGTATTTCATCTCCCGAAGATGCCAACCTGGTTAGTGGAACGCGCGTCGAGAAGAGTAATGCAGTTCGACTGTTTAGGGAAAGTG